ATATACGGCTTTAGAGTTCTTCCACCCGCTTACTGCTGTCTCCTGGCATTCAAAGGCGGAAGCCACGTTTCGGAGAAGCTTCCTAGCTCTTCAGCGGACATATTTCGAAGCCGCAGGTCCGAGGGTACGTAGGTGTGATGTTAAGCGGGCGTCCCGCTACTCTTTTACAGTTCGCGAGTGCCTCTTACGAGGATGACGTAGCGGTGATTAACTACGGTCCTTCTACACACGAATGCGTAGCGGCTGTTTCCTATGAGGCGAGGAACGTAGCCTCGAATCAGTCCACTGCTCCACCATGGCATGTGCCTGATTGTCGTGCGTGACAGCGAAAACTGTGCCGGAAGTTACAACTGTGCTAGTTAGAGTACATACACTGTGTGTTAGATGTTTCTCGCCAATAACACGCATGATGATTGTTCTCACAGGATAGTCTTGCATACCAGAGAAGTGTAGCCACTAGTAGGTAGCTCTGCTATCGCAAAATATCTGTTTCTCACATCAATATGGCCTCTAGTAGCTTTGCGTAATGCAGGAGAAGTTGTCACTTTGTTTGATCATTTTTGTTAACGCTACAGTGCCAGTTGTGGTGCTGCGAAGCAATGGGTTTATTTACGTTGCGCGTAAGGAGGTGTCGAAGATGCTCAATAACAGCTCTTGCTTTCTGCTTTCAACAAACCCTGACATTAAAGCACTTAGCTTGAATAACACCGCAGTGCTCATTTAAGCAGCTGAGTTTTGTTCTTTCAGTCACATACGGAGACTCAGAGTAGGACAATTGGCTTAAATGATAACGATCACAAGATTTTACTTGCAGGACGCTTGCGCAATATGTCCCTACATCAGCGCTATTACCGATACAAATATACGGGCACATTGAATAATATGTGCGCTTCAATGCTCCGAAACCACCATATGATTATGAGAGATGTTCTGTGGAGGGCTCCAGAAATTTCGACCACCTGGAATTCTTTAACGTGCACCCGAATCTGAGCACACGGGCCTACAGCATTTTCGTCTCAATCGAAAATGCAGCAGCCGCAACCGGGATTCGATCCAGTAACCTGCGGGTCAGCAGCCAACACCTTAGCCACTAGACCAACGCGGCGGGGCGAGTGAAAGAACGTGTTCAAGGTACTTCATTTACTTAATTTAGCTTTAGTGAACAATGTACCGGAAAAAAACCGTTGCAGACAAATTTTGTCAGCATATTACACGACCAAGTGCAGCCGGGCGCACACCTGAATACATTAAGTCTGTTGGCGATATTAAAGCATTCATTACTTTTTCTCTCAATAGACATCATGATGACCTAGATCAATCGTTTTCATTGCAAGAACTAAATAACAATCACTGCAGTGTGCCGACATAGGACAGCAGCTGATCCTGATGGGATAAAATATGCAGCATTAAAAAACCTCAGTCCCGTGGCCACTTATACTTTGTTGAAGACATGTAATGATGCATAGACAACAGAGTGCCTTCCATTCGCCTGGAAAGTTGCAAGAGTGGTCCCAATTTTCAAACCCGGCCAAACACCATTATCCATAGATTCTTTCCGTCCTGTAAGCCTGACTAGCTGTCTTTGTAAACTTATGAAAAGGTGCTCGACGCTATACTTCAGTGGTGGATGGAATATACGAATGTGCTTCCAGAAAATATGGCAAGCTTTCGTAAACTCCGCTGAACCATAGATGCCATTCTAGACACTGTATTTTAAGTAGATCATGAGAGGAGCTCTAGAAGAATCGTCGTTGCAGCATTTCTAGATATAAATCGAGCATTTGACACAACCAGCCACGCTCATGTACTACACGGTTAATTCAATTGGGAATGGTTGGAAGAACACTAAGATGGATAGCAGAATTTTTAAGAGACAGAAAAATCATCATTGACACAGCTAACAGTACAAGTAAAGAGCATAAAGTTAGTCAAGGAGTTCCACAGGGTAGCGTATTAAGCCCATTTCCATTTTTTTTTGCATTATGCCTGAATTATTCCATATCTTACCTATTAGTTTGAAATAGTCCCTATATGCAGATGATCTGTACATTTGAGCATTAGACACGAGCATTCAAGGAGTTCAACGAAAACTTCGAGATGGGCTGAGAATAATCAATGATTTTTTAAGAGCAGAGGCATGATTCTTTCTCATAAGAAAACATCCGTACTTCCATTCACAAGGAAATGCCTTAAATTTTAACTTCAGATAGACTCTCAGCGCTTACAACTTGTGCGGCAGCACAAATTCGAAGGGGTATTTTAGACAGACGTCTGTCTTGGGATAAAATCATTGTATGAAAACGTCAACTCCCTAATGAATATATTTCGTTGACTTACCGAAGTGAGGTTGGGTAGTTCATGTTCTTATTTCTTGCGTGTACATTCAACAATCATTTGACAAATAGTAGCTTTCTCTGCCCCTGTTTTACATTGGTTATCACGTAACTTAGAGGAGAGGATTCAAAAATTGTTGGCCGGAAGCCTTCGTATACATCTTGGTGTACCGTGAGAGTCTGCCAGTGCTTTGGTAATTGCGGAGTACCGTCACCCAGCTTTCCATGTTATGAGATTTACGGAAACTTGCTGGCATTATCTTCGGTTGGCAACTCAACACGCTATTCATCACCTATACCGAGCTACTTAGGAAAAATCAGCTGCAAGAATATAAAAATCTATAGTAGAATTCGGGAGTTTACTGACTACGCACGAATACTGGCCTCCATGCATGTGCATTCCACCCACCATGGCGACTCTCTATCCCAGACATCACAACTTCGATTCCGGGATTAAATTGTAAGAGTGATATGCCTATAATAGTAATAAAACAATTAACTTTACCACAACATTATACCAATTATGAAGACTATATTCACGTGTACACCGACGGATCATGTCTTAATCAAAGCTCTACATTGGCATTTATTGTACCTGCATACAAAGCGAGAAAAGCTTTTAAGCTTAGCCATTTCACAACATCCACAACGGCAGAACTCTATGCAATACTCTGTGTTTACGCTTCATATGTTTACAACCAGGTCCACTTCGATGGGTAGTTATCAGTGACTCACAGTTCTCATTAGTTTCTTTAAAAGAAATCAGCTTGGGAAACAAAGCTAGTGAGCTCCCATATAAAATACAGGTGACCTACGTTATAGCAAAAGATTTAAACCACACCATAATGTTCCAGTGGGTGCCAAGTCACTGTGGAATCGCAGGAAACGACACAGCTGCTCACATTTCACATGCAGCACATCAAGAAAATAATATATCACTGCTACCTCTATCGATGAGCGATGCACGATGTCTAATAAATAAGCTGAGCATTCAGCTGTCTATAGAAACCTGGTTCGAAAATGGTGCGCAAATTCCTCAGTTATGTAACATTCATCCCGATATAGAATTTATATTGCGTTAAATGTTAGCTGATCAGTAGAAACAGTCATTTATAGCTTTCGACTCCGTACAGCCTACACGAAGGCCTTCCTGTATAGAATAGAGAAAGCTTGCTGTCCTACCTGCTCAGGTGGAGATGTTCAAGAAGATGTGGAGCACATTCTTCTGCATTTTAAAAATCATGACGTACCTCGAAAGAACCTTTTACCAAAATACAACTTTTTGGATAAGCAACCTCCATCAATTGCAAAAATCTTGGGTCAATGGGCTAAAGGAAAACTACAAGGTACTGCAGCGCGTGCAGTCGTTCACTTTCTGGAGGAATCAGAAATAGCTCAAAAGTACTAAACAAAAAATGTACTTCTTCACTGTTAACCACTATGTTTCAAAACTTATTTTCATGTTTCACTACAATATTTTGGGGATAACCTTTCTGAAAATAGTTCAGTACTTAAGCGACAAAGTCATCTTAGCCATTTATTGAACTTTCACGTTTTGTGTGCACTTAAATTGGCGTGATCACTTGTGTTTTTATAAACTCTGTGTGGTGTGGACACATTTCTGCGCTGTGTCGACACTCAATATTAAAAAACGTGGACTCATTGCGTAAGCGTTGGGCTATGTACATATGTATACCCTTGTGTTTGCTACAAAATATGAGATGTCGACTTTTGTGCAAGAGGAGTAGCCGGCACCACGCATTGGCACCAACCTCTCCGGATATACATTTAATTAAAAAAAATCATTTTATCGAAAATACCACTACCGTCAAATAGAAAAGGGAGTACTCATCTTGGTTTTTTCATAATACAGTTAACAGTATGTAACGTTTATTCTACAGCGGCAAGCTTTCAACACTGCGCGCCGTCATTATTATAGACATTAACACGTTATAGGCCACTAGACAATTCTTTATTGATACTTTAGTTATCATATATAATCCAATGTCAAAGCCTGATGCGTGATATGATAATGTCAGAAGCGTGCTGTATCTTTTATCTAGCACTCGAGCATTTAAAACTTGTTAATGTGCAAGACGAGCGTAGAACAGAGTGGTGGCGACTAATTATGAGAAGTTTGTTGTGACTGATAGGTTCAGGAAGCATCAGTCGTATGCTGATAACCAATGAATTTCCAAGGCATCAGCCCTATGCTAATACGCTGTATGCCTCGGAAATCGATCTGTGGGTTCATTGGTCAAACATTGTTAGCTATCCAGATAGAAGCGACCAGCTCGCAGTTAGCTCCTCCCAAGTTCTTCCTCCTTTAATTTGAGATCTGGGCGAGAAAAAACATTCTCAAAGTCATTTATTATTATCTCGCTAACACCGTAAACCAAGCTATCACATATGTGGCGCTGACGGCCCACAAGCCTCATTCGTACTCCCCTTCCCGCCTCCCCCTTCTCTCATCTCTCATCTAGTTTTTCACTGCTTCTGTCATCGTTGTCGCAGAAGCAAGCAGTTATCCAGGTCACGTTCAGGAGGAGACCATCAAGGGCGGCTTAATCAAGACAGGCCTTGAAGCATGGGCCTTGGCCAACGCCTGGACACGTGGAGAATGCAGAAACACGTACGAAGGTTATCTAATCTTCAGCATATACTTACACGAGGCCAGCTCAATGCTGCAGACTTGTCGGTCCAGCGGGTACCGCTCCATGTTCATCATGCACGAAAACGTCAGCTTTAGCCTGGAAAGAAAACACGAAATAAGCAAATAGGGTCAAGACGAAGCGCGTAGTTATCGGTCCGGCTTTTTTGTCCAATGAAGAATAATCCCTGCAGAACATTCTCGTCAAACAGGCTATGAATACTTGCAGGGCATTAACGTAATCACACAAACGCGTACAAAAATGTCGTACTGTAAATTAATGAAAATATATAGGACACAGAGAACCAAGACACTATACGAATGTAACGATAACCTTAGATTAGGCCTCGTTCGCAGAACTGGGGCACACGCTCAGCCGTTGAAAAAGGAGCAAACGTCGGCGCAAGTTAAAACCCGAGGGAGCTAGCACCCCAGAAGGAGGTAAAAAGGAGAGGGAAGAGGAACACGGGCGCTGTCTTGATACCTTACGGCAATTTCGCTGTCAACGCTGTATAATATCTACAACACAGGACATTCACGACACGTTTCCCCTTAGTGCTGCGTTTAGGGCAGTTCGCTCTATGATCACGGGTGGTGTTCCAGAAACCCACATCTGAAAACTTGCACAGAAAAGGTGTGTAGCGAAAGATGCTGTAGCACCACTCCAGTAAAACAAGAACGAAAAAAGAAAAAAGAAGGAGCCGCTGACGCGGTGGTTTTCGTTTTCGTAGAAGGATCGATGTCGAGGGCGAAGCGCCTGGCACCACAAGTCGCGTAAATCGTCTGTATATGAGACAGCGGGTGTAGCTGTGTTGGTTTTCATGTTAGCATACTATTTGTTTATATTATAGTGCTGAAATCGGGCATGGCAGTGGTTAAGCGACAGTAAGATATTTTTAAAAATAAATAAAAAATGACAGGTACGTCTACGATAGCTGACGCGGCCGAAGTGGCGTGTAGCACCCAGCGTAAGCACGGGAATTTAATTCAGTTCTCAAAGCAAAGCATCTCAATGCCGCAAACAGCTAAAGATGCAATATAACAAAGACTTCTAAAATTGTTGCTTTTCAGGAGGAAGGAGGAGGAGGGGTAAATGTGAAAACACTGCGGATCACAGGAATTGGTTTGCTGCCCCCGATGTTCAAAGCGGAACACCGTGAGATGATAGTTCTTACATAGGTATAGCGGTTCACTGGCTCATTTCCCAGTGCCTGCAGAGTTGTCCTTTCTGTTTTTAGTGCTTTTCAATAATAACTTTAAACTTGTTGATATTTAGGGGGCCAGTCATTCCTGTTTAGAAGAATACATACACTGTGACTAACCAGTCTCTATACTTTATTATATTGACCAATGGACAGAATTATTGTGTGCCAAAATAAGCTATTCTAAAGCTGAATAACTGTTGCATAAAAAAGACCCGGTCTTCTTGGAAATCGTGGTTGGTAGTGCTGTATTTTAGTGAAAATTAGGTAGATAATATTACTATAATTTGACATAGGGCTATGACTAATGAGTGATTTAAAGAACCAATAAATAACTGAAATAAGCTTAGTCTAAATAATCTACAACGGAAAAACAATTTAAAAAGTCGCACTATATTAAGTAAACACATTAACAAATGTACATGCCCCCCCCCCCCCCACCTTTCACCGCGGCACTCCTGCCATTCATATATGACACATAGCTGTGCCATTGTCCATAGTCTCCATTGCTCCATTGTCATAGTCTCCATTATAACCGTACGTACTTTCTTGCTGCTAATGTGGATACTTAGCACATTCGCAATGAAAGTATATTTTTACAACTTCACAGTTTGGTGCCCCGAGCATTTATTTTCGAATTCTCGCTCAAATTTTCCAAAAAATCTTAACATTCCAAAAGTTCTTCGACCGAAAACTATCGATGCAAGCGGAAATATGCGCCTTTGTGGAAAAATGAATACTTGAACTACGCGAAGTGATTATTGACGTCACAGAAATTAACAAATTCAATTGAATAGGGCACAAGTAATTTTTTTTTCGGTCGAACAGAAATGGCTATGGGCGTAGCTGATATTCATTATTTTAGACTTCACTGATTAAAAGTTTTGTAACGAGGAAGTTCTCCTAAGAATACTTGGTTTCGCACTCGCCAAAGTGTGACTTCATGTGGCTCAGGCAGAAACCTGTGAAACAAGCGGCAGACGTACCGAACACGCGACCGTAAACGTCTACCCTCACACGGTAGCTATGTGCTGCGGTTCACTTATTGTAGCTCATTTTATCTACTTTTTTTGTGCAATCAGATGCCACTACGTCTATAGGGTATCCTATCTAGCTGTATTTCCAAGGGCCTCAGAAATCGGTACCTACTCGGGGAAAAAAATAACGGGTGCACATAAATCTGGATCATATTCCCACTCCTTGCAACGAAACCGTAGGTTCCAAGCATGCATGCCTTTAGCTGACATGCCTTCCTTTCCATATCCGCTCTCATGCGTTGAGTAGAGTACTTCTGGCTCAAGCAAGGAGATAAGAGAATGACCTGAGGCGAGAACACAACGCATCTCTTGACAGCAGCTTGGCACGTTGGTCATACGTTGTAGCACTGCAGAAGAGTGCGAGTGCTATCTGGGTTCTGAGTTCCTTCCGGTTGAATGGCGGCAAGAAAGCCTATGGAAGCTTTCACGATCCATAACAGGGGCGATATATGTGCGAATTCTTCAACAAGAGTACGTGCAAAAAGTACTACACGAAAAGAGAAGTGAGCTCTTATTGAAGAAAATCAAATTCGCAAGCACTAAGGCGATGGAACTGTCCCTGTTTTCGTCTTGGTTTTACCAATAGCGTTTGGCCATATTTTTTTTTTTCGTAAAATTAAATCATCTCGCCCAGCATCAAAGTTCATTTTCAGGTTTCATAGAACTCTATTCTTGTATCACATCGTGCAAGAAGGCACAAACAATTTTACAGCTTCATTTTCTTTTCATTCTCACAGGAATGCTTTCGCAGAAGCGTGCCGTTTTTTAATGCACTTCTGCATGAACATTAGAAATGCTTCACTAGCCTGCACAAAAAACTTAAGATTCGTTCTAACAAAGAGGTAAGCATTTAGTTAAGAAACACAGTTCTTCCATTCTTTTTTTTAAAGTAAGTGTAATGTGCCTTAGAGCCGAAATTCACCACGCATCGCCTTATCAATTTTTGCCGAAAAAAAAACTGGCTTATTATGAGTGACCAAGTTAGGAGCATGCGGGAATGACTGCTGCTGTAGTGAGCTCTGCAATAGTAGACTTTTCTAAATGAAAGAGCGCACCATGATAGTTGGAAAATCTTCAGTGCAAGAAGCTTTATTGTTCCTTTCTGCTTTTGTATTATCAATGTGTTCGTTTTGAGGCTTCTTTGTCGATTTCTCCAAAGACCGAAAAAATTTCCTGAGCTACAAAGGTTGATAAAACTGTCTTACCTTTCATTCAGCGAATATAGACAACAATAACGTAAGAGCACAGGCGCGTTTCAGCAAAAGTAATAGGCGTCTTAGGTAAACCTTCAAATAACTGCGTATTGAACACCTTATACGACAAAGTTAAAAGACAAATATTTGATAAGGGCGTTGCTCAAGCTTCGTGCTCTTAAATTATTATTAAAACTGATATTTTGGCGATCTACCTAAGCTTTCTATAGGTAACAGCGCACGTTTGACCTAGAGCAGTAAGCTTATAAAACTATGGGGCAAATTAAAGTTGAAGTATTTAGTGAGAAAAGCTCTGAACGCCAAATAAATATAACGCGTGCGGCATCGGCCACCTGCGTAGGTGCTGTCGACATGAGTATGCAAACAATCACCTCGTGATGACTACACCATGATGTCGCAGGTGGAAAAATTTTGTCACATCACCAGGCCATCAGTATGCGCACGTTAACTTACGGAGATCGAGCGCGCTCTAGCCAGCGGAGTGCACTCTGGTGAGCTTGACCGTTAGCAAACGACTTCCGGTTCATGATAACGGCGCGCGCCCTACGCGCTCCAACCCTGAGACGATGCACAAGGGCCTGCACGAGAGCTTGCGCCTACTCAACTTCCGGAAGAATAACGTGTTTCTGACTGCCTTTTCCGATGAAGTACAAACTCTTTCCCCGCACGTACCTATGTGGAAGCAACGTAACATTCGCCGAGTAAGAATTTCATGCCCCTGACATCATTTAGATATGCAATTTAGGTGAGGCCTTGAACACGTGATTACATTCACAAGTCATTTATGAGCATCTCAACCTGTTTTACGAGGTTTATACACCCCTAGTGTCACGTAAAATCACTAACCTTTTTCATTCTTTCGTTTACAAAAGTCGAACAAAAAGGTAACCATTGTGGCTGAACAGCTTATACAACGAGATGAAGAACATGCAGAGTACACAGCACTGTGTGCAAAAAGGTGACACAACGCCTGTGGCACTGTAACAATATGTTAACGTTCAGACGGCAATCAGACGCCAAAATCGAGCACTTATATCATCCTGTTTCTGCCTGCACTTCCTACCGTCAGCATGAAACGCCTTAACAGACAGTCTGTGTCGAGGTCTCTGGAAACGCTCGTGCCAAATGAGATCACGGACATAAGAGTGAACGCCAGAAAGAATATACTGGCTGTGGACGTTTCGCACGCAAGTGCGTTGGGCGTTCTGTGCAGTGTAACTGACTTGGACGGCAACCAGGTGCGCTCTCATGTTCCCTTGGCATGTGATGTAGTAACCGGCGTGATCTACGACATTGATGTCGCTAATGCCAATAAGGACTTACAACGTCTTGTCAAGTCAACAACTGGTACTTCAATTGTTGATGTCACCCGGCTAGGCAAGTCTCGCTGTGTGAAGATCGCGTTTAAGAGCACATCACTCCCCTCTCATGTGAAGGTGGGGTACTTCAGACATGCTGTGCGGCCTTTCATTCCAAAGCCTCTCCAGTGCCGTAAATGCACGAAACTTGGACATGTGAGCAGCGTCTGCAAGAATTCGGTGGTATGCCACCGCTGCGCCGAGCACCATGAAGCGGATAAGTGCGTCGCAACTGTCAAGAAATGCTCTAATTGCAATGGATCCCATGAAGCCACATCGAAGGACTGCCCGCGGATTCAGAAGGAAATCGCCATCTTGAAGGAGATGGTGCGCGATCACTCATCTCATCGAGAAGCCGCAGCTAAAGTCAGAAGGCGTCGTTCACGTCGACGTCGGTCTTCGAGGACGCCCGCTACCTCCTCGACACGTTTGCGTGATCCCTCATCAGTACCACCTCCTTTGCCTCCCAGACCACATGCCGTGGGAAAGACTGTAAAGGACAAAGCCAGTGAGCATACCCTAACTGCGACAGAGTAGCCTGCACTTCAAAGGGAAGCAGCATCAAGCGAACCGAAAGAGCTTCATGACGGCCAGTCCGCGCTCCCGGTTCGAGATCTCTCCAACCAAGACAGGCAAGTGGCTGCAATCGTGCAATCATTAATTGCCACGATTCGCACGCTACTGAGCAGCATACAATCTCCGTCTGCTAAGAGTGCACTGCAAATACTGGATGCACTGAATCCAGTTCTTGCTAACTTCGTATAAGCACAATGGCTCAACAAAATCTCATCTTCCGCACTGAAGTTAAAAGTGCGTCGATTTTTCAGTGAAATGCCAGAGGCATGAAGTCCCGTATCTCGGACTTTCGCCAATTTGTTCGGGCCAATCAATTCCCTATACTTGTCATATGTGAACCAAACGTATCAACGCCTTATAGATTGTCCGGTTATGAAGCTTTTTCTTCAGCCGCTTGCGAAGAACGAAGCAAAGTAATTGTTTACATTTGCACAGACTTGACTTATCTTTCGCACCCAATAAGTTCAAATGACGACAATCAGTACGTGTGTCTTCGTGTGAAGAAGAATGCAGTTTCGTTCACGCTTATTGGTGGATATATATCTCCGTCATCGCGATTTGACTGCGACAGATTAAAAGACATCCTAATGAGAACCGATGGGCCTTGGATCATCACTGGTGACTTCAACGCCCATCACATGCTTTGGGGGAGCACTAGGATGAATGCCAGGGGCCGGAACATTGTGACATTCGCTTCCGATTACGACCTTTCCATCATGAACGATGGTACCCCCCCATATCTGCGGGGTCTCACGTATGGCAGTTGCCTTGACCTGACATTGGTGTCACGGTGCTTCTTTCACAAAGTTAAATGGTTTTGCGATATTGACACTCATGAGAGTGATCACATACCCACCTACGTGACGATCGATGGTATCATAAAAAATTTCTCTTCCGGTGTTGCAATTGGCACTGACTGGTCGATGTTTGCATCGCGTGTTGAGAACGCTTGCCAAGAAGGCCTCGCCTGCAGCCTGGAAAATACCATAGCGGAAGCTATGCAAGCGTCCAAATGTAAATTACCATTTTTGTCTAAAGTAACAATGTTTGACATCGAACTGGAAAAATTACGAGCTATACGAAGGCGTGCTGAACGACGATACAGACGCACAAGATCAATTTACGATCTGAGGGAAGCAAGGCGGCTCCAGAAAAAGATTCAACGACGAATTTACAAACTGGAAAGCGAACGCTGGAAAGCATTCTGCGAATCTCTAGACCCTCATAAACCTCTGTCATATATCTGGAGAACAGTTCGTGGTCTTCGCTCCTCTCCACAACAACGGCACCCTTTTAAAGCTTTGGCACTCCATCATAGAAAAACAGAACTCGAGGTGGCTGAAGAATTTTGCACGAGAGTTGCCGGGAATATTATGAACGAGAGCATCGACGCCGTGATCGTTCCTGAGACGCGATTACCAGAAATGGACATTCCGTTCACCATGGAAGAACTGGAAGGTGCGTTAGTCGCTCCTAAGCGCATGTCATCGCCAGGTCCTGATGGTATTACTTATAGTGCGTTGGGACACCTTGGACAAAAAGCCGGAAAAGAACTTTTAACATGTTTCAACAACTCCTGGCTCAGCGGCAGTGTTCCTCGAGAATGGAAAATAAGTCGATTAATACCACTTTTGAAATCGGGAAAAATCACCATTGGACTTGACAGCGTATCTCCCTATTGCCCTCGCAAGCTGCCTCGGAAAAGTGATGGAAAGACTGGTTCTATTTCGTCTCGAGTGGTACTTGGAACGATACACCAAATACCCTTCTTGCATGGCAGGCTTTCGTCGGGGCCGCTCATCCATTGACTGTGTCCTTGACTTATCGACATTTGTTCAACAAGAAAAAAGTCGCAAGCGCATATCAGTAGCACTCTTTCTTGACGTGAAGGGTGCATATGATAATGTAGCTCACAATGCCATCCTCACTTCTCTCGCAGCAATGGGCATTGGTGGACGAATGTTTCAATGGATAAAAGATTATATAACTGGCAGGGGTTTCTTTGTACAAACATATGAGAATACAACTGCCCAACATTACACCTACTGCGGAGTACCTCAGGGAGGTGTTTTAAGCCCCATATTGTTCAATGTGGCCCTCATTTGTCTGGTGAAGGTTCTGCCAAAGTCGGTGTGCCTATCCATATACGCCGATGATATTTGCCTCTGGAGTGCTGCAGTTACTCGCCCTCAGGTGCATGCACGAATACAGTGGGCAGCAACCCTCACAACAGCCTACCTTCAGAAACAAGGCCTAAATATATCAACTGTAAAGTGTGCGTTGATGGCGTTTACACGCAAACCAATGACGCCATACCCTGTTTACATCAATGGGCAGAGTGTCAAATATGCACGGACGCATCGTTTCCTGGGCATAATAATCGACAGAAGTCTTTCGTGGAGCCCACATTGTGCGTACTTGAAGAAGAGACTGCTATCTATTGTGCATATTATGAAATTCTTGTGCGGTAAAGCATGGGGAACTTCTGTGGCCTCCATGCTACAGCTGTACAGGGCCCTGTTTCTGGGTCTATTGCGCTACAGCTTGCCGGTACTGACTAACACTTGCAAATCGAATACTCATTCATTGGAGAGTTTGCAGGGTCAGGCACTGCGTATCTGCCTAGGACTGCCCCGATGCGCTTCTACTTATGACACAATCATGCTTGCCAAAAACCATCCGGTCAGGACATATATAGTTGTGGATTGCCTCAGAGCGCACATTCGACATGCTAGCCGTGTCCCCGACCACCACTTTGCCCTTCTACCTTCCGGAAGACCACGTGCTACGTTTTCAGACGTCATAGCCAAGCACCTAAACAGCATTCCATCAGGGTATACGCCAGCTACGAGAACGGCATGCCCTTTGTGGTGCCTCGACCAGCCGCAAGTACGTCTAGAAATTCCGGGAATCAAAAAAAAATCAGTCACTCCAGAGTAGCATTGAGGCAAGCAACACTGCTATTATTACATGAGTTGTACTTAGACCGAACGCAGATATACACTGATGGGTCCGTCTCATTCAGCAGCACATCAGGTGCCACTGTAATTCCGGCTGCAGAAATGACAATCAAGTTTAAGTTGTCGCATATGACTACATCTACGGCATCAGAGCTTGCTGCTATAAGGGCTGCTTTACGATATCTCGTTCAAGAACGTCCAGGAAAATGGGTCATATTCTGTGATTCGAAGGCAGCGCTTCAGAGTTTGCAGTCTGCCATGCGTAGGAGGAGTCATGGCCAACTGGTACAAGAAATAAGACATTGCCATCATGAAGCTCTTGCACGAGGGCATGATATTTTATATCAATGGCGCCTGGACATATCGGTATTACCGGAAATCAATTAGCCGATGATGCAGCCCGCTCAGCCCATGAAGAAACCCGTGTAGTCCCGATTCCTCTATCAAGAAATGATGCAGCAAGACAACTTTACCTGCTGGCTCGAGATCTCACACGCACGTTCTGGTCGTCTACCAGCTTCCAAAGGTGTCAATTTTATGAACTGGATCCTTCGCTCAAGCTAAAGCTACCATCACAACTTTTCCGCTGCGATGCGACACTGTTATGCCGCCTTTGGTTGGGTTTGCATTTACAAAGGTGTACTCCTTTCGCATTGGTATGGCAGACACTCCTACATGCGACTACTGCGGAGCTGAAGAGACCATCGAACACGTCCTGTGCAGTTGCGCTTGCTACGACACACAGCGATGCCAGCTCCGGATGGTTTTGAATCGACTTGACCCCGGACCATTTTGTGTGCAGAAGATACTAGGACCTTGGGCATCTGCCTCAGTTGCGCAGAAAGCAACAAAAGCACTGCTACTTTACCTCAAGTCAACAAACCTGAGCGACCGCCCTGTACACTGTGTGTGCTCCCCGAGTGTGCTCGTGATTGTGTGTACCTTCTCATCTTTCTGCAACCTCTTTTCTCCCCTTTATTCCTTCCCCAGTGCAGGGTAGCTAACCGGATGTGCGTCTGGTTAACCTCCCTGCCTTTCCTTGCATCGTTACCTCTCTCTCTCTCAGACGGCAATGAAATTAATTTTTATCTCGATAAACGCTTGAGCTGCTAGGTCAGTGTTAATCATGTTTTTCCTTGTAAGTTCTCCTCACCTACTTGTATTGCGTGCTCAGTTACTAAAATTGATATGACAAATGAAGTGCGCCAATTCTGCGGGTGCCATGTGGCTCCCCTGTAAGATAACATTCTACTACAAAGAGTTTGCGGACAGCTTTACCTCAACATGTAGAGTATGTCACCGCTGGGGTAAATCCTCAAGAGAACGTTGGGAACAGTGACGAACTGGAACTCCCCATGCTTGGCATTCGGAAAGTAGACGTCAGGTTTCCACACCTTCTTGAGGAGGTTCGGGTCGTTCAAGTCTAGAGAACGGGTTAAGTTGGCGTTCTTCATACGCAAGTCCGTCCACGTCTGACGTAGGTAGAGGTCTACGTCATAGTCCTGCATGCAAGCGCAGCAGTCAGTAAAGCCGTAACGATATTTCTAGTGCAATGCAGTTCAATTTATATACAATTAATACACAATACGTTGCACTGAGGCCACCGACGAATGTTTTAAAGTCGGACTTCAATGACACCGTCATTAGTTAGTAAAAAAACTTTTATAAAAACTGAAAATCGGCAAGAGAAGTAAAACTAAGTTCGATGCATGTAAAGAAACGAAGCAGTATTATCAATGTACCGATATTGCAATAAATTGAAAAATATAGATGTGTACGACTGGCTGCGCAAGAAGCAATACAATATCCCATGTTTATATTCACCGCGCAATCAAGAGCTCATGCTTAAGTATGTTCAGACAGCTGTCATAACATGCGCAGTGCTCGCATCTGGTGTAACGCCCGTAGTGTGCATTACGATCGTTATGATCGTAAACAGCACTAGTCGATCACACCAGCCGTTGCGCACGTTGCCATTCTTGACAGAAGCCAATCAGAATGTGCGTTGACCAGCTTCGTCTCGGTTGATTTCAACATGGCGCCAGTAAACAGAAGACTGGAATTTGATGGGCTGCAAAGGCACAATGAACTACTGGTTTCGTTTCATATTTATCACAAAAGGAGGCGACGAAGTCGGAAGGTATGGATGAGGCGAGTGTTCTTAGACGGGGCACTTGACGGTGACTTTCGCAACCTGTTTGGAAAGTTGAAAGCAATGAATGCTGTCATGTTTCACAACTTCGTGCCGACGACGCCACAGCAGTCTGACTTTCTTGAATATACGGTGTGACCGAATATCGACATGCAGAAAACCCATCTGCCACCGTGCTTGTCACCATCGGAACGCTTGGCACATTAACGCCATCGCACTACAGTGTTCTATTGTAGGCGCACGTTGGAAACAACTAAACACCCCCATGCATGCACGGACTCCACTGCGGCAGCCGTTGCTTCTATACGGGCATGCTGGAACTTACAACACCTGAAAAGGCTAGCCGAAAGCATGATACTGATTGGCCTCGTCGTAACTGACGCAGCCGTACCAGACGCAAAAGGAGCGGGCCTTCCGACAAATACGCTCGCGCACGTCACGACTGTTGGGCTCTTAACGGGCGATGCGACTGCAGTCTGAAAGAAGCAGTTGCGTTTTTTTTTTGCGCGTACGCTTGCGCTTCTTGTGGAGAATCGGCACGTTATGAGCCTAGTCTGAACGTACCTTTACTCTTGTCATTGCTTGACAAGATGTGCTTCATATACCCGAAATGCGTTGACATGAACATTAACACGCAGTAGGGGAATTATTTCGAGTTTGTTCACTCGCTCAACTCTCTAGAGCTATGATCGCAGGTTCGTGATGTGACTATCTACGGTTGTCTGAATTCCTTTCTCTCCTTTCTTCTTCTTCTGTATATCTGTTCCTCCGCCACACAGTGTTCTTCAAGTGCTTCTAAACGTGAGAATCGCTGTGATCGTATGCGATGAGAATTTAATGAGAAGTTAACGGTGAACAGACACAACACGTTGCAAAAATACAAATTTTCGTGCTTTTTTTATCCAACATGCCGATTTTGCACACGTATTTGTTCCTTAAACTAAAAACAAAAAATAGGAGACGTTTTCATTTCTCAATAAACTTAAAATAGAAGATTGCAATGTAGTTAGCTATAGTCACAAAGAAAAAAAGAAATTTTATTATGCGAATGCTTCAGGGAATTCGTACATTGCGATGCATTTATGTGCTTATTTTGAAAGCTTTATATATTGTCTCCGCCGATCACCGCGACTGGGACACTACGTTACCGTTTGTAACATTCGCGTACAATTCTTCCAGACACGACACCGCTGGGTTCTCTCCTTTTTTTCTGTTGTTCGGCCGTGACCCTGCGCTACCTTTCGACACCCTCCTGCCGGCCGGACTAAATGACAAGTCTCAGTACGCTCGTGATGCAATAATGAAGGCCCAAGCGGCACGCCAAGTTGCTCGACGACGCTTACTGGACTCCCAGGACAATCAGAAGAGCGTATACGACGCCCGCCATCGTGACGTCCACTTCACACCCGGAGATCTCGTTCTGTTATGGTTCCCCTCGCGCCGCGTTGGACTTTCGGAGAAGTTACTCCCACGCTATTCAGGTCCCTACCGTATCTTACGCCAAGTAACTGACGTCACATACGAAATCACCCCTACGGACCCCGCCATCCTTCACCCTCACACTGACGTAGTGCATGTTACGCGACTCAAACCGTATTACTCCAGTGCCTCCTGATTAGCACCGGGTCGGTGCTCCAGCCGCCGGGGAAATCATGTAACGGTAGGATGAGAACGACGAAGAAGACAAAGAGGAGGACGATGTTGTCAGATCTGTGAGCCAACTGGGCGCCATCTTGTCCACCACCGAGTTTATTCCTCGTTTTATAAAGTAAAGTTATTCTCCCGTAACATCATAACTCATATTATTCATGTAGCTTGCCTAAGTAATGCCGCCAGAGTATTATTCTAACACACCCAGTCGCTTACTGGGGGTCCTAAAAGGCTCCTAAACCACTCCGAGTTCAAAGGCGCGACAGTATTTTCCTTCTCGCTAAAACTACCCTTTCAGATGTGCTGTCTCCTCTTCGCCACTTATTGTCTCATAGAACACGTGGAATCTCAGCACCAGACCTCGAGCGAGTTAGGTGTTCGTGTTTTCCGACTAACACTGCAATCTCTGTCTGTGCAGTCACAAACGCAGAAAACGAAGTGAAATTCTTTACTCCGCACGATAGCCTTCCAATAAAACCACCAGGCCTGCGCAGAACGCGCAGGACAGACACAGCGAAAGCTGGGAGGGCGGTCTTTCCGAGCCTTTCTTTAGCGCTGTTTGGGCAGCTGCTGAAAGCATACTTGCAGTTTACCCACTGTACGCTGTAAATCAATGCGTAGTAGGCAGGCATTCACTAAGCCATCTTTAGTCATTCTTCGGAGAAGCGTGGTACGCGCTGCCCGCTTGCAAAGAACTTCGTGCATTTTTTGTGCGTTGTATAGCTGACGACGATGAAGAATTACGCCAGAAGCTTTCGCAATCCCCAAAATCCCCCACAGTGGGAATACGCAACAGCCAATACGTGAACAAGATCAAACTTTTGAAAAGGTTGGAGCATTCGGCGACCCACTGGTTATATGACACCTGGTCGTTACTTTCCTGTTCTAAAACTCTTTGTTACTCACATTACCGCGATTCCTTTCCCAACATCAAGATGACCTATGGCCAATTTGCAAAGGAGTTTTAAGAACCTCTGTGGCTCAGTGGTTGAATACTAGGATAGCATACGGAGGATCCATGTACGAATCTGATTGTGTGCTTAATGTTAATAATTTAAGGGTTCTTTTGTTTTGTTTCTCGCGATAGTGGTTACACACTCCGGTGGCCACGGCGGACAACTACAGCACGTACGTAATCGCGTTGTGATCTCATAACAGCTTTCGCTGTAGCACGGAAGAGCGTGCATGCGACTGCAACCTAAAGCAGAGTACAAAACAGTTGACTGCAGATATTTCTCCTATATTATAAAATCAACAGTGCATTTCATTTTGATATCACGTGAGTGAATTGCTGACGTCATGAGTAATGTCGCGAGAGCGGGAATGGCAGGAAGAAAACAAAATGCCAACTTTTCACATATCCGAAGGCTGTTTAAGGGCTCTTTGGGAACATATCTAGGGTAGGCCTATGCCTACAGTGTGTTTTAAGACTTCTTTGGAAGCAATTTTGTCAGAACTACTGCATTGTCACACACGATCTTCTCTGTGTTCAATGTTGCCGGCCTAATACACGTGTTGACACTGCCTTACGTAATCCACGCCAGCATGTTTGAGAACATTCTAGATTGCTTTAGGCTCATCTGTTGGGTTTGAGCGTGCAAACACATACAGCTGGGTTTATTCTGGAACGAACTTTGAGCTACATTTGAGCCTGAATTCGACCTTTATTACTGGTAGCCGTGTTCTTTCAAGAACAAACTGAGCTGACGATGTTTGCACACCAAAACAATTCATAATGCTACAACACATTCTGGCACAGATTACGCAAAGCAATGTGTAAGCGTAAGCTAAGCCGGCCACAGCAAACACAGAGACGAGCGCACGTGGCAATAGACAGTTATAGCTTAGCGTTGGCGTGATAGCGTAGGTTGAAGGATTGGCGTTACCGTGCAGCAAACGTTCGTTGTGGGCAGCGTCTTATAGTTTAGCGGGACAGCGTTTACGTGGTTTACGTGCCCCAACTGAGATGATGGCGGCACCTATTAGATGGTTAATAAGTTAAGCAGTGAAAATGAAAAGAAAACGAGAATGTTTGCACCACGCGAAACAATGTTAGAAGTTTATTTTAGCGATAATAAAGTAAATAAATAAGAACCACGCACCAAACGCAAAAACATCTATGTTGCCGATTAGTTTACATCAATCTTGTAGTTAGGCCTCGACGCGTTCAAAATGGGAAGCTATCTCAAAAACTACGCCAACTTACATGTAATACTCGGTCATCGAAGCTAACTGATGGCAAGCGAAGCCACTTTGAACAGACGTTTGCTGCGAACAAGATGAATCTTTCAACAACTATGCCAAAATCACTTCGGAGCGGTCGTCCGAGAGTGCCGCCATGTTTACGTACACTACATACACCTACACTACCACGGTAACGTGAAATCTGAAAAACACCGCGCGTACGGGAAGCGGTACGGGTGACGTACGTATCTGCGCATGCACCCTTCGATCCGGCATCACGATACACCCGGTAACCCGGTAAGCCCGGTATACTATAACTCTCTAATATCTACAGCGTTAAGGTTTCCTGCGTTTTATTCATTGGCGTCTCTTCCTGTCACGGAGTTATAATCATACTTGTGCCTCGACTGTTGACATTATGGCTATTTTTTTAGCAAATAAGAGTTGCGAAGTGGGCTTCTTTTGCAAGTCCTGAGTGATTGGCTGCGTCCTTGTGTCAACAGAAAAACATAAGAATTAAGACAACACACATAGCGCCACCAGAAACAATGTTTGTTTTTTTGAGACCCGTACAAGCCTATAAGCGTACCCGTACCGCAAAAACTAATAAAGGCCACTTAGCGACAGCGAGAGACATGTGCGAGGAAATCACCTATCTGACAACAGCATTACAGGTGATAATCAGATGATAGCAGAATGTCATCATTTTCGCAGGATCCTTTACTCTTTTTACGACAGTAATACAGATGGCTTACTCGCGCACATATCACTAAGAGCATCTATGTGCTCAGGTTTCCGACAGCAACACGACCAAGTGTCGAGAGGGAAGAAATCGCCAGGTGGCTGATTCATCGTCTTGTTTTCGTACTCTCTTAACCACACGTTTACACACTTGCTCGTCTGTCAAATATAGTATTTCACACGGCACAGTAGTACACGGTAGGTCACGAATGCTTTGCAATTTATTATTGTTTTTTTATCTTTATTGCCACAACCTGCTCTTTATATTTTACAAGAATTCGTTTTCGAAGAGCAGGTATCTAACTTGTGGGGAATAGAGAAAACGATCCTTATATAGATTTTTCACGTATGGCCAATTTCTTAATGTTATGAGACAATGTTTGGCTGTGTTCTTGTGCTAAGGAGTAGCGAGTTGTCGAGGTCATGATCGTACAATAATGCACGAAGTTTCTTGAGATCGTTTTCTACTACCCACAGATAAGTACGTGATAAAGATAACCAGCTTCTTTTGGACATTATATTTATTGCGCGAAAGCATGACCCATGAGGTGTGACCTGGACTTCTTCATGACGTTATTGTGGCACATAGCAATAATACCTATCTTGGTCAGTTTTGAGTGATTAGACTGAAAAAGAGGTGGCGCCTTGTTGGTGTGAGATGCGTAACACCAGCATAGGTGGTTGTCCGAATAGATTAGCATAAGGCCCAGAAATTTAATGCACCCGTAAACTGGCCATTGAACCCGGACTTCCTGGAGGTTGATACTGTAAACTATAAGCTATCGCAAAACACATTCAGCCCTTCACTATTCTGATTCATGAAGCACTCAGACAGTCAGTCAAAAAATCACAAAACCATGCACATATTACTGAAAAAATTTTCGTATGATTTATTCAAGCAAGTAATTTTTGTCAATACCTTTAAAAACTGTCAAAATAATTAACAGTAGTCCGCATATAAAAATAATCTCGTGATTAGGTTTGGCTTACTCCCACAAAAAGTCAGTCTTCTGTTTTTTTGACTTGCTTCTATATTGGGGCGAATGTAACAAAAAACTGATTTCGGGATACTGAGAGTTAAAGGGGTTAAACAATTTTATTCCCCGTATTGTTTGAACTGAACAATTTATTTATAACAAGTTGCCTTATAATCATCAAACAAAAAAGCTTTTTGATTCTCCCATTGCTTAGGTTTCTTCGCTCATTCTGAAATATTCGACTTTCTAATGATCCAATAATGTCAATCACGGTACATCACACTTTAACCATTTAACAGTGTTGCACCTCAACGATATGCCAAATGACATCGAGAACGTTTACTCGGACCATGTAGGTTCTTCTAATAGTTAGAATGATTTCAAAGGTGGCAGGTGTGAGGGGTCCCATTTCCTAGAACACAATATATTGAGTTCTATAAAAGTGCACGGTTCCTCTGCATTTTGCGCTATGACAGTCACTCGCAATGGTGGTTTCTAGAAGCTCGACATCAATCAAAACGTAGACATTCTCTTTACAGACATTTTGTCCTTCTGATGACGCATAGTGAGGACAAAACTTACTTGCTGAAATGCTCGCATGAGTGTTACCTGTCTTGTTTCTGTTAGTAACTGAAGGTTGTTGACTTCCAGTTATACTGAAAATTTTTAACAGTTTCCTTACTTTGTCTTTTTCCCCATCGGAAAGGAATCAACAAAGGTGCAAACTGAACTCAAAATAAATGCACAGGACAACGCAATTCTGCGCGTCTCACAATACGAGGTAAGTGGACTTCGTAAATGCAATCATGTGCTTCTTTTTTTAAAATGTACCATGCAATTTTAAGTAGCCGGAATTTTCAGCAAAACATCCCAAGCTTGGAGATGCTACCACAATATATTAAAAAATCACTTGAGACACAATGCTAAATTGCGCACCGTATGAGAAAAATGGGCATGGCTTCTCGTCAAATATTCTCGAAAACCTGGTCTCTTTAGCTCAATCAATGCTAGGGCACTGAACATTGTTAAGAATGGGTTTACTATTTCTGAGAAGCAAAACAGCAATTTTCAGTTTTTACATTAAATTTTACTACACCTTGTACCCTTGAATACAGTTTTAAATCATGCTATCAATAACAATATACGAATATGGATGACGAACAGTAGCGCAACGTTGCGGCCAAATTAATAATTATTAGATTGAACACAAAATATTGAAAGGGTTTTTACTACATACACATAAATATTATTGTTTTTTCTTATTTTGTTCCTTTTCTTACTGCCTTGAAGAAGATAGGTTGGCAGGAGTAATGACTCGTTATGGTATGTAAACTTGCGACTGCAGAGGCGAATAATATAACGACGCACTTATTTATTTATTGCCAACTACTCTGTGTTACGCATTACGCATTCAAATTTCAGAATGCTGTGGTAATGCTGTTATTCTTTTTTTTTAAGTGAAGGTGAAGCTTGGTAAAACAAAACATGGCCAAGAAGGCGGTTAAATTCAGTGAACAGCTTATGTCTGCGGATGCAAAGACGACTGTGATTTAAGCGACCACATAAATCAATCGCGCAACGTGAACAAAAGTATTTTGTTGTATATCAATGAAGTGGACTCAAGAGGAAATCTATTGTCAGTTACTGAATACTCATGATAGTGTCGTATTGAGTTATAGACAAATAATGAGTATAATGGCTAACATTATTGAGTATAATGATTGAGTTTTGTGACGACAAGCATTACAAGGTGATCATTATGCGACGTGCTTTGCAGGCCTAATGAGCATAGGTTGCGAACTTGCAATGGAGTGGACTTCACCGTTTTTGTATTAGTTTGCTTTTGAAGAAGGTGAGAAATGCTGTAACGTGCACTTACAGTTTTGTCACTGACAGCACAGCATCTTCAAGATGATGATGTAGCCCCGTAGGCTCAGATTTGGGTGCACGTTAAAGAACCCTAGGTGGTGTAAAGTTCCGCAGCCCGCTACTACAGCGCGTCTCTCGATAATCATAGGGTTCAACTGGTGGTTTCGAAACGTTAAACCGTACAACTGTTCAACCGCTAAACCATGGCCAAATATCATACATTCTCATATCAATCAATCTACAAGATGACATCTTTGTTCAATCACTGTCATAATAGTACTCGGCAGTTGCTCCTTTTGCACTGAATATTTTCATTTGAATGCTGCAACATGTATTACAGCTTCTTGCATGAGCAGAACTTGCAAAAAAAAAAGATATATATTTGCTTTCTGAAAGTGCGCTTGGTGAAGATTTTTTTATTATTATTACCACAGCAACTAATGAAGAGGTAAAATTTTTCTTGCATGACAGAGATCACTTTCATCATTGTCAGTGCAAGTCTTTGAGGCAATAAATCTGGTACTCACCATTGTTGCTGGATTTACAGCGCCAAAGCTCCTTAGGTAAATCTCGCACTTTACAACTGTGGGGACGTCTGCAAAACAAACAAGATAGGAAGGTTAAGGCAAGCATAACATAGGTCACACTGGCAAGTCATCGAGTAAAAAATTGCATGCATGTTACAATTACTACTTACTTGCTAACAAAAATTATATACGTTGAAACTTGCAGTGATGTTTAGTAAGTTCATAAAAAATTACTGACTCTTCTGGTGCACATATGCAGCGCAAAAAGAGAATCCCTATAGTAGCCACAACAAGATGTGTGCTCTTTTATTTTACAAGGATATAAACCGTTAGCTATTAGGAAGTGAATTTCCAAGTAGTTGTTGAACAGCTTGATAAGAAAATGTCAGGCCTGCATTGCAGTCACACTGAAAGCTGGACGAACGGCCTTTGTAGAGCACGTTGCAGACGTCCGTGTGGTAACTTAAGACAAGTTGGCACCAACAACGCCATAAATCACCAAGCTTTAGGTTAGCCGGGAAAGCCCTACTGTCATTATTAGTTATCCCGCGTTAAAGCGAGATATTCACTATATACCTGTAACGCATGATGTGCACCTTGATTGCGCTGTAGCTGATGACGCTGCTGGATTATGGCTAAGCATTTTGTAACGGGTTGGAAGCATTCAACAATCCCACTCGTAACGCCATTCGGAATGTGTGACAGCCTGATTTTTATTTTACTTTTTCCCCAAGCTATATACATACGTTTAAGTGATTTCTTCTCCGACATTTTGCATATATAAAGTTTTTTTTAATTTTTTGTGGCAAAGTATCAAGCACTGGCGTGGCACACAGAGGGTTCGGAATTGAATCGATTTCTATTTTGGATATCTTTTTTTTTCTACTCTGGGTGGGAGCGATGACCGACACCAGCAGCAGCGCCCAAGTACGGCACTCTTGTTGGGATCTAATATTTTTAGCGGTAAAAATACAGGCCCGCCCTGAACCTGCGGCGTAGTCACAGCGATATCTGCAAGGAAGGCTTCACAAACACCTGTCGTAAGCTGTTTTTTCGCGTTCTAGGACAAATAGTGGGCACAGAAAGATGTTTACTCAGCATGCATCTATCAAAATGCCCTCAACTGTGCTTTGTGGCACGAAAAACATGCTGCTACGAATGTCAAGTGCAACGCTATCAACCCCTCTTTAGATCCAAATCGGTGCTTTAGTAGCAACAACAATGCCACTGCGGCCACGGCCACGGCCATCAACACCGGTGTTTTTAAGGACTAATAAACAAAATGAGGAAAAGAATAAATAAAATAAAAACGCCACACCTGCGCGAAACATGCAGCACAGTCATAGTAAAAGCTGGAAGAGAGGTCATTTCTGAACACCCTTGTGGCAACCATATAATTACTACAAGTACACTTCTTTTCGCTCCCACTACGCCATACATCGTGATAATAATATTCATGTTATTAAGCGTGGAAACTAAGTAAATTCGACAGCTCGTAATTTAAAATATGAACAGCACCACCTTGTAGCAGTTAGAGTTACAACTACAGAAGTGAGAAACAAGGACACGAAAGAGCGCTCTTTTATGTCCCCCCCCCCCTTTTTTTTGCTTTCGCTGTAACTGCTAGTATTTTGCGCTATGTTCAGGTATTTTCAACCCTTTGGAGTAGGGAAGAAACCACTACGCTACCTTTTGTTGTTCTATTTAACGTACCTTGTGCACATATGTAACGGCCTTCGTGCGCCTTGTTGCTGCAGTGACTGAATGCGATGAAGCATTCTAACTGAGCCCAGTTGAAAGCTCTATGTGAAGCCCTAGCGGCTTGATTCGCATTGTGTGGCACGTGGCCATTATTTTGTTCTCCTATAGTGCTACATTACCGAAGTTAGCATGATCTTTTGGCAATTAATGCAAGTTCGCTTGCGAGATACCCACTTTTTATAGTAAGGAAGCGTCCTCTCTGTTATTATTTGTCATTCTTCATAGAAGCGTGGTATCTCCTACAAACCTTAAAAGCATTATGTGCACCTTGTTGACGAAGTGACTTAGGACGATGAATGGTTATGGCTGAGCCCTATGTAATAAATTGGAAGCATTCAACGATCCACAAGCTCCGTATTGTTCACTGTGTGACGCCCGGTTTTATTTTAATCTTCTAAAATGGTCTATTGCACCTGTAGAGGAATTTCTGCTCCGACATAAAGAATGAATAGAGTCTGCTTCCAGAGAGTTTCATGCAACGACGTGCATCTGTGATGGAATACTGGTGGTGGTAGTAGTGAAAAACGTTTATTAGGACAATGTATACAAGTGAGGGATAAGAGCGGCCTCAAGGGCTGACCCAGAGTTCCTTTCAGGAGTCCCTGTTGCTTCCGCGACGACAAGCGCAATGGCCACGAAGGCTGTTTGGCCCTCCAAAGCCGAGCAGCCCAGCCAGGCAACCTCGAACTCACATGTGTAAGGAATGAACGGTTCGTAATTGTAAGATAATGAGCTTCCACGCAGATGGCACAGATTGTAATGACATCTTATTCAGGACATTTCTATTTGTCATTTTTCTGTTATTTCAAGATGTAGTGGTCACGGACACCTGTGACGCAAAATCTTGCAAAATGTTGGCCAATGTTAAAGTTACTGAAAGATAATATGCTTGAGTGACGTTAGACGGGCCAAATATACACTTCATTAATTGATATGTGGGGTTTAACGTCCCAAAACCACCATTTCATTATGAGAGACGCCGTACTGAAGAGCTTCGAGAATTTCGACCATCTGGATTTCTTTAACGTTCACCCTAATCTAGGCACACTGGCCTACAACATTTCCGCCCCATCAGAAATGCAGTCGCCGCAGCCGGGACTCAATCCTGCGAACTGCGGGTCAGCAGCCGAGTACCTCAGCCACTAGGCCACCGTGGCGGAGTCGTTAGAATTTTACATAAGTCGTCGTGCGAAATCAAGCACATCAGGCCACTTCTAAGTTGCATCTTCGTAACCGTTATTCATATAAAATCCTCTGGGCAGTGGCAAATTACATGAAGACCAAGCCAGCCGCTGTGCCAACAAGCGCTTTAAAAAATGCGCCCTATTAATTAGGCACGGTTTTCTTTCGCACCTGCCACCCCACAATGTTTAGCGCAGCTGTGAGCCGCTGATCGGGAATGAGTGCGTGATGAAAAGAGGCGCTTTAGTTGAAGAGGTGCGGAAAGCAGATTACATTAGGAAGAGAGGTAATTACTGCATTTTATCCCGTTCGTATGACTTTACAAGAGTCAAAACGATTTTTTATGCCACGGCTTTGTGCAACATGTTCGTAGATGCTGCGCTGTAGTTGCAGGCCCATCTTTGGTCAACAGAGATATTTGGATTAGGTGTCTAAAGCAGTTAAAAGTTCAAAATTCGGTGTTCTTTCTCTCTTCTTCTGTTTTACTAAAGTTATGCGTTTCACTGAATCACCACGTTTGGCTTCTAGGTATTACTATATTTTGGAGTTATAATGAGGTTGTATATTCTCGCGAACTGAACAAAGGGAAAAATTATTTTTTTCTAAATAACACAATACACAGAGAAATTCGAATGCGTATTTTTGTAATCGGAGATGAAGTTCGGAGGACATAGAAAACCGTGCAAGCAATACGAAGAAAAGTGCTGGCACATCTTCAAAAATATTCATGCACAGGAATACGCGCACTGCACTGCATTAATGAAATTGCGCAGTGAGTTTCGTTGAAGTGTTTGTCTATGGTTGTAAAATGCCCGCAACTAATTTTGCAAAAAAAAAGCAGAGACAGAGAGAAATTTACGGAATGGAATTTCAAGTCATTTTCACATTCGTGTTCCTAAGCGATGATCTTCAAGTCATTACCACCCAGCACTTGTAGTGATTCAGTATGTTAGCCATGTGGTGGATTTGTAGCGCTAATGACACCCCACTTAAGTGCTGAGTAAATGCCTATCTTCACTTACTTGTTCCTGTCGCTACATTTGACTGTTTGTCATGTCTTGCGGTTTATTTTTTCAAACCAATTTTTCTAGATTCGTATATCAGTGCTAACTTGGTATGCATGTTTCTAAAGCGCTATAGAGCAAATGTCGATGATTTTGTGAGGTTTGCGCTGCATCATAAAGGAAAAAAAGGAATAATAGGTTGAGATAACGAAAATTTTAGCACAAAATTGTTTTATGCCAAGGCTCACCAAGACTTCAATGACGCACTTTAGTCACAGCAGTGACGTCGAAAAACTTCGTCAGATCAGAGGACAAAGAATAAAGTTCCGTAAAGGGGAGTCGAACCTGCGTCCTCTGGGCCCATCGTAACAGACGGCATGCACGATATCCACTACGCCAAGGTAACATATTTGAATCCTTAAAAAATACACCTTTTATATCTGCCACAGTCTTCTAAGCATATTTGGTAAAGCGCAGTAGTGCAACATGACTGTGTCATCCGTTATTAGTTCCTTCAACATGTCGTTTTTAAGCGTCCGTGGCATTTTTCATGTTTCTAACAGGAGTATGTGCAATTTTGTGAACGCCAAACCTACCCCCGGGTTGCAATCCTAGCCCAAGCGTCGAGGAATTTTTCCAAACCAAAACATTCCCAGAATGTTCGCGGAGTGAACGATGGTGAGTGGGGCGAAGCGTCTAATTTTCGCATAAGCATCGATTATTGTTGTTATAAACAGTTGAGCAATCATGCAATAGTCAACCTGACAGCATAAATATTTAGGGCAACGTTGTGCTTTCATTTCAAAATATTTATTTTTAAGTGTAGTTCTAGTTCAAATAGTTTTCTTCCTCAATTTTTTAAGCGCAGTTATGCCGTGTGCTAGCGCATTCATCATATAGTGTGATTGTTTTCACAAAGTAAATTTCTTGGTACCGCTTAAGCTTTTCTTTTTGACGTATTTTGCAGCATTTATCTTGAAGGCGAGTCTGCTGGGATGTTGGATGGTCAAGATTTAGTGCTTCAATGGCCCACAGCCACCATACTTCATATTCTGTAGCGAAAAAAAATGTTTCTTTTACTCCTATTGGTCACTTTTTTAGACAACTGCATGATATTTTTTATCATAATATTTGCAATAAAATGTTCAAATGAGCAGACAAAAAGTTACGTTTTGCAGATCTTGGGCTTCAGCAAACTTTCCCAGACTTATGAGATGATTTAGGCTGTATCATTTTCGTAAACGTTCACAAAAAATAAGAAGCTCTTTGCATAACCTCATTTAGGTAATCTCAGTAGTAATTTGAAGTTTATATACAAAAAAATCCCCAGACATCGTTTTTCTCGTTGTCCGTAGACCACTCCAGGAAGAAGCAATGAGCGCCAGATAAGAAAAATCTAACACCAACAAAAACTGTATGGGAGCTTTCAGAGCTGCTCCTAATAGCTGAAAGAACACTACACAATTATCTAAGCTTAAAAAACATCTCAGAAAGGGCGTCTTGAAAGCTCTATTTAGACTCACGTCCGCTTCAAAGTGGATTGCAAGCTTTGTTTTTCTTAGAGTAACCCGTTTAGGGTCAATGCAGTAACACTGACTCACTAAAGAAACCCGCGGTAATGAATAAAAGTACAGACCGTTTTAAAACAAGAAGAAATGAAGTCTGGGCTACTCTGTGTTTGTCTTTGTGGCCTTAGCCGGACAATGGCAGCCCGCTTATCACTGCAGATCAGGCAAGTTGGTGCACTAAAGTATCTTAATGCTATCGCGCAGCACAGTTTGAGCATAAAGAAAAGCGGTAACATGAAAGAAGGTAACACAGCCGAAAGATTAGCACTAAAAGGATGAGCTGCCTGTGTTTTCTTTCTTCGTGTTGCCTATTTTCTTTATGATGAAACTGGGCTGCGTTACAGAAACAAGTTACAGCTTGTTGTATGAAAGTTGCAAGGGTCTCGAGAAGCTCATAACTATAATCCTGAGATTCTTTTCCGTTGTTGGTGTGTATTATTGTTTGAACGAACTATTTAACCTCAAGGTAATAATTTGCTCCTATATGGTTGCCATATACTTTCGTCATGACTTCTTCGAAAATGACATGCCTACGTGAATGTTAAAAATGCTTGGTAATCCAGCAATAAAAGTAGTGATTTTTATTGCGTACGTTTCTCTGAAGAATCCACGTGTAATGCTAGTAAGCTAATCCAAGAAAATAAATTGAAGCTCTGGAGACAGGCAACGCGCAGTTGCTATTTCATATGAAACATATTCGTCGACGCCAACTCTTGGTGTTACAGTAAACAGCTGCATAGCTTTCTCTTTTGTTCACACGAACACAATCCAACCCAAGAAATGCATCGTACTCCTACAGATTTTAATCTTCTCGATACATCTCTAGCCTGCTTACACCAACAACTAAGCTTGTTATCGAATAAACAAAAAACCCAATAGTTTTTTGTATTACTCGCAAATAATGGAGGAACTAATATGAGTTGAAAAATAGTACCACGAAGTGTGGTTTGTCCTTAGAATGACATAAAAAAGCGCAATACAGGAAGTTCGCTCACTTAAATGATGACCAGGGGTGATACGTCGGTCGTAGCTCCATAAGATGTTGTCCAATATTTGAAGATCGACATCGTCGAAGAGTCCTGGTGCTGGATAGCCTCTGAAAAAAAACATCAAACAACATCGTCTTCCCTCAGCTCTTTCTCGCGCTTCAATACTTCCTCATATCTAACATTTTGGACATTCTTGAGCACATTTTAATGAACGAAAGATACCGCATTTGATGCTTAGAAGACGTAGGCTCATGTGAACTTGTATGCAGACGCAGTGATACATTTGGCGAGGAGACAATTGCAAGCCACATATATGCACATGAACAGCAGTAGTTCTCAAGTTATGAGGAGATGAAACGGAATACATTGAAAGTTCAAAACATGGTCAACATGTGCAGAAACACTCGAAGTACGGCTGCCAAAGAAATTCCTAAAAAAGTTTCGTATGTTCGAAGCCGTCATTATGTTTAAAGTGCCGTAAATTCAAACGGGCAGTATTACAACAAAATATTAGAGTTTCAAGTGATCAGAAATTATTGAACAGCGTGAGGGATGCGTTTGCTGTAAAGACTTACTGTCTTGTAGAATACAAGGACACTTATTAAGACGTTGGCTAGCCGTAACTACTGTTCAATATTTTTTTGTATCTGCCAGGCACCATTTTATATCATAAATGGTTGAGAAAACGTGCAGTGGCTCAACTAAAAATGGTAGCTGGATGACCACTTTCTATCACGATGAACTAAAATCACTCATTTTTTCATGCGACTGATGAGTTCCAAGGACGAGAATTTAAAAAGAGTGTGAAAGCATAGCCTCGTGTGCACACGCCTAGTGTCACCCGTTACCCTTCGCTAAGCGTCGTACAGCACTGTAGACTGCGTCATGGCCGATCTTTTTTCATTGCCTTTGAACCCTTAAGGTCATGGCGAAACACCTGTAGATGTGGCCCACCACTTTATACGGCAGGCCATCTAACGGTCGTAGCATAATCTGATGACCACTGTATCATCACCAATATTAGTAAGCAAAAGCAACTATAAAAGCTCTACACAAAGCCGTAGAAATATACGCATTCGTATAGATGCCGGCAGTAATTAATGCAGACCGGTATGAATGCGGGTGTCATATCCCTGACACGGGGGCACCCTAAAGTTATTTAGACGTGGGGACATCATCCGGAAAGGTACTCGGGTGTAGTGACACTCGATAAAGGAGAAACTCCTTTACGAAAAAGAAACCTTTTTCGGAAAAGCCGATCCCGCTTTCATAGCTATCAGGGAACAAAAATGGGATGAAATGATTTTATGTGGTTATTTCCATGAAAGCAGGAATTAAAGTATTTCAGCACAATTTATCTGTCAAATTCACGTGCATAAATGGGGTGGTGGCTCGTGTTCTAATACACTTTTTTATAACTTATGGTCCGCTTAGCCAACTCAAGCCATAAAATGATCTCGATACATACAAAAGTTTCAGTTACCCTCAGTAACGTTAAAGTGTAAGGCCCTAAAAAACAAATATATACTAAATCTTCGTTAGGTTGCGAGACATGGCTGTAAAACATTACTGAAATGACCACTGATCGCAGGTTGTTACGAATAAACCGCGCGGATATGTGCGAATGCAAGCTAACGCCAATAGCGGAAACTGGATGTATTTGAATCATAATTCAGCTAGGTTCACAGATAGACCTCTGAGCGTCTCACATTCTTTCACACGAATACTGGAATGAAACATTTTGGCACTCGTACAAATACGGTGCCTAAAGGGAGAAGCAAGAAATATGCAAGGCGGTTGTTGCTGTTACACTAAAGTACATGACATCTTTATATATTTTGAGTATTCCAGCATTGTGCGGCGCTCTATTTCTTCGTTACGCTTGCGAACATATAGACAGTCCCATACAAGCAGACACGAGCTAACGGTTTCCGCTTTTTGTGTCATTGAAATCACTAGACTGGCCCGTCTGCTAGCAAAGATGACAAGCCCACTAACTGTATGAGGGCGCTCCTGCCTGCGCAGCAAACAAACAGAGAAGAATGAGCAGGTTCTCGTGTTTCTGTGTGCTAAACGGTCCCGTGTCACACGCGTTGCCACATTTCACAAAGGCATGGGAGCGATACGGCTAAACGTCTACACGCAGAGAAACTAAAAAAGGGATCAGGAAACCTAAAGACCCTACTCTCTTCTCATTTTTATTTAGTTGTTTGCTTTCGTTTGTTTGCCTATGCGCTAAGGTTTGCAATTCACCGTCTGTCGTTGTAGTTTCATAACAGTTTTTTTTCCTAGCGTAGTTAGCAAAAATTAAAGGGGTCCAACATCTCCAAGCCCCCCTGCTCCCATGAGCTGGTCGCTTGTTTGCTGTGGCCCCTCTTCCAAGAAAATGGCACAGCGGCGTCTCTGCGCCTATTTGGAAGCCATGCGCATGCACGCGCGCGTGCGTTCTACAGTCAACGGCCTTCGACTTTGAAAATCGAAATTGATGTCAGGAAAAACAACCGCAAGAAAGCGAAAATTTCTAGCGAAATAGACGTAGCAGCAAAGAATACGCCTGAAAAATGTGAGCTGTACTCCAAAGGGAGGAGTGGTGGTAAGCCTTGAAGGTCTCTGCTGAAGGAGGGCGCGGCGTGTCTATGGAGGAACCGTATTCATGCCCGCCCGAAACGCAATACATCAAGGAGCGTGACAACGTTAGCCTGGAAAAGCATATTGAGCAATAGAAAATAGGGAGTGAAGGGAAGGGCGTGTTTCCAAGAAGTAATGGTTTGTCTTCTCCGGCGCGCACGTAGGTTACAGCACTGAGGTTGAAAATGTCTTCAAGGGCATCCGCTCTAAGAAAAGTAGTTTTTATAAGGATTTGTTTGGGCATCCGAACAATTCTAAGTCGGTTCTTTCACATCCAATGAATTCCTGCGTGTAAAAAGTTTGCAGTAACGCACAATTTAAAAAAAAACAGTCACCAATATTGCACCAACCAATATTGCAATCCAGCCATTATTGCACACATATAATCTTAGACTTCCTTCACTGGCTAAAGGTCCCCAAAAACATCTCTCACAAATTTTTACTCTTTCAAGTAAATGTGCTCCTCATCGGATACAATACAGAGTCATGATTAACAATACCAAACGTGGGCGCGCTATGAGCCGTGCACACGGTTACCCCACAAATAAAAAGAAATGGGGACTTTTTGTGAACTCCGAACCAAACACATTTCACCGAAGAGACTATGATACGTCTTTTAGCTTTTGGAATGAGGGGAATCCACATTTTCGGGGTGCTGCTCCGAACCGCTTGCCGTGTTATCATCACCGGGCCGCTTAGAAGCCCTCCGACAAACTCGACTCTTGCGACGGGACTACTCACGAGGGAGCCTTGCCGCGCGTGCTTCTGTGTGACCACGTGATTGCTGAAATAGTGAAGAGGCACATACAGATAACAGTCGGACACCGCCGCATGAAGGGGATAGGCTCCAGCTGAAGCAGGGCAAATGTTGATATGCGCTGCTGGGCCATGATGTGATTGCCGAGAGGGTTAAGGGTAGATCAACCGAGGGTTGAAAAGAGGTTGTTTTAATCTGAAATGAGAGCGGATGTTCGGGCTTGGACTCGGGCAGTAGCCTGAGGCTGCAATAAAGCGTCTCTTCACCAGACTACGGCTCTTCCTTCGCGCTGCCACCGTGCACTCGAGTCATCAAGGGGACCCATCCCGAACCTCAAACATCTTCCCTCCTAGGCTAGTGTGGAAGCTAGTCGAGGAGGAGGAAATTAACTAGAGGTCACAGCCGGCACCGTTCTAGGGCACGAACAGACGAACAGAAGTACTGTCGACACTGCGAGTATGAACCATTACAGGCTTTCGTCTTCGAATCCCTTTTCCTCTCGGTGCCTTTCGACCTTCCTCACCCAGTCAATGTGCGCCGTGAGATCAACATGTCCTCTGATAACCATGCGCGATACAACTTATGATTCTTATCTTATGATTCTTATCTGTATCCCCTTCGAAGGCTACAAAAGCGTGCCATAAGAATAATAACTCACAGTAAATACAACGAGCCAAGCCGGCCGTTATTCCGATGGCTAAAAATACTACCCTTCAATCTTTTGCGTGACTATAAGATGACCGCTTGTGTTAACAGTATCGTAAAATACAATAGCCCATTTGATGTCTCGTTATTTTATTCCTCTTCCCGCCCTACTAGAAGCCTGACGTTCGGTAACTTTAACTTGGCGCCAAGAAATAACGTTTATGGTGAGAGATTAATGCAATTCACAGGGATAAAGATCTGGAATAGTTTGCCCACTGAATTGAAGGCATCACACAATCCTGCGGTAAAACTAAAAAATCAATTCTTGAGCAAGCTATAAATGCTTCTTTTTCTCTTTGGTGGTAAGCACTTACATTTGTATAAATATACGCTGGTGAATTTTATAAACCTAACATTTTTTTCCTTCTAACTAAAACTTGTGATAGTTTCATGTTTTTTATGTATTTTAACTGATGTTTTTGGGTGTGTCCACAAAGTTATCTGTCATAACTTTTTGTACGCGCACATGCAGTTTTGTTTGGTGTGACCAGATTGTTTAAGAAGAGAAAGACTTCTCTACTCTGTATATGTGTATATTTACAGTGTCTGTATAGCTACATATGTATTATGTGTAATTGATATTTCCCACTTCTGTCCATTACTTTTCTCATTAGACCCTACGCTAGCGTCAGGCTATGGGTCCAACCAGTGTTTGTAAACCTCATGTGACAAATGATAATAAATGTTCAATCAATCAAAAAAAAAAACTTGCTCTGCTCGCAGGTGGAGTTGATCCGTACGAGGAGCAGATCTCGGTCAGGAGAAAAGAAAAGCCGACGAACGCAACAGTGAAGGGAAAAATGGAATCAGCGTGGACAAGACGGTTCCAAGACTGCAAGTGTTGTACCCCAAAAAACAACCAGTCACCTCATTTACCAGCTACTAACGTTAAACGAGAAGCACGTTCTCAAGTTTCGTTCAAGGATAAGAAAAATGTGTCCAATTTTTAGATGAAAGGAACATGCGTAAAGTTCAAGAGAATCTCTCATAATTTTTATGCAGCTCAAAAGAACATTTATTTGGGCATATTTTTCAAACAAGGGAAGGAAAGTGTAGAAAATCGGCATGTAAAGTTTTTCTTCCCCACCAATGCTATTAAGACACATCAGTGGATGGAGCCGGATGTAATCAAGGACGTGTGTTTGTAAACATCGAAATCAAACGCGTGGAACTGAGCTACCACCACGGCACCATTTCAAAAAATTTTTTCTGCTACGTGTTCGTTGTAGACGCTGCAGTTGCAGCTTTTAGATGGTCTAGGGTGCCTTTAAAGGAACATATAAGTATTGTACCTTTTTATTCACGCGAAAAATATTCGAATGGGTAGCGCACACGTCACGTAACGAAAGGTCGAGATGTAGACAGCACGAGTGCTCACTTTAAACCATGTTTATGTCGCAACACACACCCATATGTATGTATGTATGTATATATATATATATATATATATATATATATATATATATATATATATATTATCACATATCATAATGATATTGCGCATCCATCTTATATTACGGTATTAAAGAAGTGTTTAAACAAGCAACCAAAATAAAAAGGCGTTCGTACTACTGAGCAGAATACCACCTAAAGAGACCAGGAATGATAAATAAATAAAATAAAACTAGACGATACAGCGATCCACTGGTTAAAAAAACAAAATAAAAATCAAACATCATGAAAACTTTTCTCTTTGAATAGCTACACCAAATAAACACAAGAAATTTCACCCCAATGCGGACATGAGCATGGCGAGTGCGGTATTAGGAAGTTATGTTAAGACATGATATTTCGTTATTGTGGAGGTGTATAGACAGCTGGCCTACGCACATGCAGCCTTGCCTCTGTAAGACACAAGCCTGAGCTATCTCGTAAATTCTTAGTTTCTTAATATCAAACTCGTCATGATAACGTCAGAGCTAGGGTGGAATTCCGTGTACAATCTGATGTCGCACTTGCAATAGAAAAGCGTGCATGATGTGTGATTTCTATTTTGTAATTTTTCTTTATAACTGGATCACTGTATTGTAAAGTTTTAAGTTATTACTTCTTTCGCCGCGCTGTCTAGTAGCTAAGTTATTCGGCTGCTGACCCGAAGGTAGCGGGATTGAATCCCGGCTGCGGCGGCTGTATTTTAGATAGAGGCGAAAATGTCATAGGCTCGTGTGCTTGGATTTAGGTACACGTTAAAGAATCCCAGGTGACCTAAATTTCTGAAGCCCTTCACTAAGGCGTCTCTCATATAATCATATGGTGAATTAGGGACGTTATAGCTGACATATCAGTCAATGCAGTTTTATTTCAGCTATTATTTTCTGCTTCCTTGGGTGTCATTGCTGTTTACGCATGCAGTATTCTGTTCAGTAGCAAAAACTTTTTATTTCTGAGAGTCCAAAGGATTTTTTTTCGCAGGTATATGAGCGCAATGCGTGAGATCATTGTGATTGGCGTCTCTCATAATGATGTGGTGGTTTTGGGACGTTAAACCCCACATATCAATCGGAATAATTGTAATTTGTGATAGGGTATATTCTCGCATGTTCCAAAATCAACGTGGTTTTAAGTTAGCGTTTGTATTGCCTATATATCTACTTTTTTTATCCGCTGCTCACGCACTACTTACACATTTTAACCAACCTGTACAACTTGCTGAATTCATCAGAAGAGCAATTTTTGCACGAAAAGAAACTTTCTACCGCCTATCAAAGTACCTACGACGAACTTGCTGCGTCGAAAGACGGCTACACACAAATGAGCATGACAAAAGGCAAAGTACGACAATATTATTGAAAAAATATCAAGTCGAAAGTGTGCCTTTTTTTGTCTCAGAACAATAATCATCATCTGGCTTGCTTGCGCTTCTCTTCTTGTAAACTCAGCGCTGGCCATTTTTCTATCAAGAAAGCTAATCGCGCTGATAACGCGCTCGTAGCTCGTGATCTTAAAGTGTGGGTGCACGTTGATAGTGCGAATAAAGACGGCAAGATAGATGGCGAATATTGTTGTGGGACAAAAAGAAGCCGTTTTCACTCGATCGTTTCTTTGAGTGTAAACAGTCCACTTGAGCACTTCAGATCACGTTTTATTTTCGAAGAGCAGATTCTACTATGCACCCTTATTTTTTGTTTCGCCACTTCGTCTTCACGAACAGCTCTGGTCTCGCGAATATTTTCTGCCACGTTTCCTGCTCACCAGGCACGTTCAATTTTGATATCATCATTAATATTCTGGTATGAATATCGCCATTTAGGTATAAATGCTTTTTAGTTAAGAAACAAATGAGTACGTTTACAATTAATTGTCGTATAGGAAGATCAATGAGTATGAAGTATGCGTTAAGCAAAAAAAAGTATGGACATGAGTAGCAGTAGGAGTAGGAGAAACGAACTTCATGAATAAAAAAAAATCTGCAAGTTTAGGCGGCCGAGACTAGGTCTCGCATGAGATTGATTGATTTGTGGGGTTTAACGTCCCAAAACCACGCTTTGATTATGAGAGACGCCGTAGTGGAGGGCTCCGGAAATTTTGACCACCTGGGGTTCTTTAACGTGCACCCAAGTCTGAGTACACGGGCCTACAACATTTCCGCCTCCATCGGAAAATGCAGCCGCCGCAGCCGGGAATCGAACCCGCGACCTGCGGGTCAGCAGCCGAGTACCTTAGCCACTAGACCACCGCGGCGGGGCGGTCTCGCATGAGGGTACGTCGGATGGATGGATGGATGGATGGATATGGCTGTACCCTTTAGATCGGGCGGTGGCTAGCGCCACCAAGCCGTAATACCTAATGAACCAAAAACTAGATTTATTTTTTTTCCTTAAAAAGTGAGTTTGCGTATTCGTACTTTGCAGTGAAGAGTTTAATTTTTTTCACTCGTGCCTTGACTTTAGCCACCAATCAGATAACCTCCTTCTAGTTAAGTCTACCCGCTTAAAGTTTATTTTGCCCTCCCGGTCCCCAAACCCCAGTGCTTTGAAAAACTCGGCGCCATCATCCTAAACTATAGAGTGAAGCCCTTTACAGAACATTATCAAGTGTTCGGCAGTTTCTTCTTCCTCTCCACACGCACTGCATACTGTGTCTACCCCTTCGTATTTGGCCCGATATGTCTTGGTTCGCAGTACTCCCGTCCTGGCCTCAAACAGTAGAGAACTACCCCGAGTATTATCATAGATCCTTTCGTTGGCAATTTCCTGCTTAACAGTTCGGTAGATCTCTAGTGCGGACTTCTTAATCATGCCCATTCTCCACATGTCAGTCTCCGTTTCCTTCACTTTCTTCTTAACCGATAGTTCTTTTTGGTTTGGCCACCTGCTGTTTTCTAAGTATTTACCAGTCAACTTCCTGGTTCGCTTCCTCCATTTTGTATCGACATTCTTCATGTACAAGTAACTGAAAACCTTCCTAGCCCAACGCTCTTCCCCCATT